TAAAATTGTTTTATACTGTAAGCTGGAGGCGAGTGTAACTTATTTTTGTAATAAAGTTTTTATTTTTTTTATGTGTCATTAATATAAATGTGTGTTAGTATAGAAATATTCTGGTTTAAAAACTTAGAATTGCACACATTTCAGTATGTTTATTTGTACTTACATAATTTTAGAATAGTGGTTGCCAATAGCTTGTATGTTTCACATTAATTGGTTTTTTTTTATGTTACCTTAATAAACCATTTTAGTATGTTGTATGTCAGTTACTGGGATAGCTGGGACATAGAGTGTAATTTAAAATTTGTCAATAAGTATTCATTGGAATATATGTAAATGTGCCTTGCCGGTTATTGAAACTTAACTACAAAATGAGTATGGGGTGACAAAAATTAGTTCCTGGTGCTTAATGAAACTTTCTGCCACTGATTTTATATATTACCCCGTGCTTTTTTAAAGTACATCTCTCTCAAATCTTAGTGTAAGTTTGAGGGCTACACAAAACATTTACATTTCATTCTAACATATAATGAGTATAATAGGTTGTGGAAAGTGGGTAAACTAAATGTAGCCTTCAGTAAAATTGAATCTCAGTGTAATCCTTGGTGCTGGCATTTCCCAGTTCCAAGGAGTTAAATGATCCCATCAAAGAGGTCATTGCCATGCCTATTGGCACTTTACTGTCATACCCTTTTTAAGGGACACTGTCAAGGTGTTTAAGTTAATTCTCAGAATTATTTGTTGGGATTTTAGGACGGGTTTGTTTGGCTTAAGTAAGAACTACTTTTCAAAGTTGAAAGATGAACATTTTTGTGAGTTCACAAATGTGTTCTTAAAACATTAAAATACGGAACTGTGGGTGTCTAAGACTATTTGGCATTCTTAGTTTGGGGATTTGGGAGGGAAAACTGATAAAAAGAACTTGGGAAGAATTGATGGGTAATGTAAACAGTGGTGATGAAATGTACACACTCAAGTGAAATTACTTGACAGTGTTCATTTGAATAACTTTGAATTCAAGCCATTATAATTTAAAAATTAAATATCATTTGCACTGTTCTGATAATGGGTGCAGTTTTTGAGCAATATAATCAGAGCTAAATATGCATGTAGTGATTAGTGATGTGAAAAATTAAGTTGAGAAGAAATACTAACTGGTATTTTCAAACTTAAATTTCTGTAGTAAAATCAGTATCAAACTCTTATCAGAAATCAAGGAAAACAGGCAATGCATATAAACATACTTTTGAATGTTGTGTGGCCTATAAAGCAATAATGCAATTTATATGGAATGTCATGGGATATGAGAAATGGAAATGCAAAATAACTAATCCTTTAGTAAAAATGTCAACATGTTAAAAGGGGAATGTTAACTAATGTAGGTTATTGCTATTTGTGATTTGTTTATGGGTTCTTGGCTTTGACAGCTTCAAAGAATGGACAGATGACAAGTTAAAGAAATTTTGTACATTTTGTCAAGGAACGGGTCTTAAATCTAAGAGTCAAGTCCCTTCCTTGGGGTGAAAAATGTATCCTTAAAGCATTCTGATTGTTAAATAACTTGAGTTACCTAACCAAAACAGACGCAAGATTTTGTTTCTGCAGACTACTTGGCGATCAAAAGTGATCATCTCTTTTAATCAGTTTTCAGAAAGTTGCTTTGTGAGAAAATTGTGTTGAATATATTATCCCAGACATACTTTTCATGAAAGATTTTTCAGCCATTGCAACTGAATCAGATTTCAGAAATGAAGGAGAGATTGAGCACAAAAAGCGGTTGCACACTCATGATGGCAGTTGCTGCATCTTGAGAAATTTACCAATTACTCCAAGTCAGATTTAACAAAATATATTTTCCTCATAAAATATGAATAACAAATGGATTGATGGGGTGATCTTGGGTATTCACTTGTATATAAAATAATTGAAAAAACTTATTTAATAGCAGGGTGAACATCATGCTAGGTGGGCAAAATTGTCACGTTCAGAACAGCTTTTTTGACTACTATGCCAAAAGTCACTGTTGATCAGAAAAGGCAGAAGATCACCTTGTTTTAGACATGTACTGTTTAAGGGGAGAAATTAAAAAGTGTAGAAGGACTTC